AAATCTCTTGTATTTATAGAGCGATTTGGATGAGATTTGGGACAACTCTACTAGACACAATTTCTAATTGACACTAAGTTTGATTTTTTAAAATTTACTGTTTAAATTATATAACAATATTGTAAAATTTTCATTTTTACATAAATTTAGTTCATGGACTGGAAAATAATATTCTTAATGGAGCATGGTGCATATTATTATCAGATTGGTAAAAAATTTTACCATCTACTGGAAAAAATACTCCTCAATAGGTGCCATTTAAAAGAAAGTGAGAGTTTGATAAAAATCATGTTTTAGAATAGCTTTTGTCACAAGTTATTCGAAACTATTAGAACATTATTTTCCAGTCCACGTACTTCGACATCAATTTTTTTTTAAGGAAGAATTGGCAACACTGTCGTGTCCAATTTGGAACCGTAGATTTCAAAAACATAAAATATACACGTTGGTCCGTTTAAAAAATCAATCGTAATGCAATGCCAGTTGAACCGGAAGACGGTCATTTCGTTTAAGTATAAGTGTCCATGCGAAATTTTGTCTAGTGGCTTCGATTCAGGAATTATTTTTCTGTCAACTCGTTCAAACCAATATTACATTTAATAATTAGTAATTAATTTTATTCATTTTTATTAATATTTATTAAAAATACTTAACAATTAATTCAAGGTATTCCAGCAATTATTGTCTATAAATATGACCAGCATTATTTTCCAGAACCGCATGTAGACTTCTACACCACTGATCAATAGTTCTGTTAATTACGCAAGCAAAAAAGGATATCTTTATTGTAGTTATTATTGTGCCTTCGTAGACAATGTTTATCAATAATTCCCATATCGAATAATCTAGAGGATTAAAATCGGGAGTCTTAAAGGATCAATGTAATTCAATGAGGTACACATAGGAGTTAACACTTTCACTAATAAAAATAATTCGTGTTTCTTTTAGCATTGTTACACTCTAGAAAAAAATAGTAATTATTTTGAAAAACTTCCTTTTTCGAAAAAAAACTTTTTATATGTGAAAATTTATCTCCAACATTCTTGCGGTAGAAAACAAATTTTGTTACTAGAATAATCTGTCCTGAATCTTCTTAGTAATTAAGTGCATATCTCTGTAGACGTTTCTCTCAAACTTTGAACCATCTTTTAAAAATACACATTTTTTATACACTTTTTATGCACTTTTTATACACTTTTATACACTTTTTATACACATTTTATACACTTTTTATACACTTTTTATACACTTTTTATATACACTTTTTATACACTTTTTATACACTTTTTATACACTTTTTATACACTTTTTATACACTTTTTATACACTTTTTATACACTTTTTATACACTTTTTATACACTTTTTATACACCTTTTATACACTTTTTATACACTTTTTATACACTTTTTATACACTTTTTATACACTTTTTATACACTTTTTATACACTTTTTATACACTTTTTATACACTCACGGTGGGCTTGAACATGATTTAAATGCAAAGTTTTTGCACCACCGATTTTCTTTCTGCATTCGATTTCTGGAGTTATAAGAAGACTAGAAAAAAAAATCCACCGTAAGCCTTAGAGCTGTTTTCGAAAAAAAACGACTTTTTTCACGAGAAAAGATTCAGTGTTCGAGATATCGAGATTTTTGTACCTTTTGCTCACTTCTAGTTGCCAAACATCCCCAATTTGGCATAAATTATGTTTTCCTATCAGTTTTACACTAGCACACAAACATTTACAAAGCATATTTTTGAAATTGCTCCTTTTACTAAGACTGGAGATACTTTTTGGCGATTCTCAGGAACAGGTTAAAATAGAAAAATTTGAAAGAATGATTTTTCATTCGAATGAGTTTTGCGTTAGTAAGCTAGTAAGCGAGAATTATATCTTTTATTTCCATCCTTGTCTGATTTGCGGGGTCATCGAACTATCACCAACCCCCACCCCCGATCCTTTGTCTACGTTTTGTTATACTGGAGATCGAATGATCAATGTTATTTGTGCAATTAGTTAAAACTTCAGATAGTCTTCGACCCTTCGAGGTGAAGTTGTATTTGTTCTCTTCGAAATTTTATTTTCTTGGGAAAGTATGGACAGAAGATCAAAGGAATATGCAGGGACCCATCAAAAAAATCGGGCGCGCATATGTTTTCTCTGTCTGTAGAAGAAGAATCAAATGGTCAAAATCAGTGGTGCTTTATGTGTGAATTTAAAAAATGTGTGAATTATGCTGAACATGATGAACGTTTTCCCAATGTTTTATGAAGCGATTGCAAAATTATCGTATATCGGTCAGTGAAGTGTGAAACTATCGAGAAAATAGCTCTGCCGGACTATACAAAGTTCAAAATTTTGGAGAAAAATACTCGGGCAAAAACTCAAACGCTGTGCAGTTGCACATTGTGTGAATTGGTACGAGATCCAGGGTCATATAACTTCACCAAAAAAAAATGACAAGAACGAAAAGAAGAGGAGCAACAAGTGCAAAAAAAATGTGGTGAAACTTATTCGGTAGGGAAAAAACATTTTTGTATCCCAGAAAAACACTCCCCAAGTTTCAAAGAACATGTAAGTAACTCGCTTTCCCTGAAACAGAGAGAACATTTGGCGTGTTCTTTAATAAAGGACATAGTATTAAATGAAGACACAAATTCTCGCAGCTCGAGCAATAAAACCGCTCCATTATCTCAGATTTATGGAAAGCCACTCAACGTTGAAATTACCCAGACACTAAAAAATCAAACTATAGGCCCGCAACAAATTTCCGCGGGAGATGTTTGTAAAAAAGCCACAAATTACGACCTCTCCAGCAATGTAGTTCAGAGCATAGCAAGAGACTTACGCGTTGGCTCCCAAAAAAAAGAAACCTGTTTGAACCAAATCTTAAGACGAAACTTTCTACACACCGCCACAATTTTTTGATTTCAAAAGTTGCCCCATAATAACATCAAAGGCTGGCGAGAAAACGACCTCTACAGAAATATTGGCATTTTGTACAGATATTCCAACTTAATCGATTGTATAAAAACAACTCGAAACAATGATAATCCCTATTTGAAGTTTGGCATTGATAGTGGGGAAGGTTTTCTCAAGATTTGCCTTTCAGTGCAAGAACCTGATTCTGCTATAATAGACGGTCGACAAAAATATATATAGAGGGCGCAGGGGCTAAAAGATTCAAGGATTCCGGAGTCAAAAAATTATTTGTTCTGGCAATAATTGCAGTTACACAAGAAAACCATGAAAATGTGAGAATGTTATGGTCTCTCTTACAGATCAATGATTTTGCCGACACAATTGCGACCGATTTGAAACTGGCCAACATATTGGTATGCCAGTAGCTTTCCCAAAATGTTGGCCAGTAGCTTTCCCTGTACTTGGTGTTTCGCCTCGAAAGAAAGTTTGTATATTACATTTTTACCAAATTATGCGTGTTCCAAGTCCAAAAATGCCTATTTTTGTATCTTTGCATTATTCATTGAAAAAAGTAGATTTTTTTCACAATCGGCTCTAAGGCTTACGGTGGAATTTTTTTTTTCAGCCTTCTTATGACTCTGGGAATCGAATGCCGAAGGAAAATCGGTGGTGCTAGAACTTCGCATTTAAATCATGTTCAAGCCCACCGTGGCACTTTTTATACACTTCTTATACACTTTTTATACACTTTTTATACACTTTTTATACACTTTTTATACACTTTTTATACACATTTTATACACTTTTTATACACTTTTTATACACTTTTTATACACTTTTTATACACTTTTTATACACTTTTTATACACTTTTTATACACTTTTTATACACTTTTTATACACTTTTTATACACTTTTTATACACTTTTTATACACTTTTTATACACTTTTTATACACTTTTTATACACTTTTTATACACTTTTTATACACTTTTTATACACTTTTTATACACTTTTTATACACTTTTTATACACTTTTTATACACTTTTTATACACTTTTTATACACTTTTTATACACTTTTTATACACTTTTTATACACTTTTTATACACTTTTTATACACTTTTTATACACTTTTTATACACTTTTTATACACTTTTTATACACTTTTTATACACTTTTTATACACTTTTTATACACTTTTTATACACTTTTTATACACTTTTTATACACTTTTTATACACTTTTTATACACTTTTTATACATTTTTTATACACTTTTTATACACTTTTTATACATTTTTTATACACTTCTTATACACTTTTTATACATTTTTTATACACTTCTTATACACTTTTAATAGCAAATCAATTTTGAAATTCTTCGTTTACTTCAGGAGGAAGATTGTCCAGAATACTTTCATTTCTTCATTTCTTCTCGTTCTTACCATTTTCTTTCTACCGCAGATTTAAGTGCGATTGCAATTATCTCCCTAAAGTGTTTCAAATAGTTTCCAACTATTTATATTGCCATTTTTTGTGGAATTATTTCTTCGAGAATTCCTTCGGAAAATTTGATACAAAGTTTTTGACAGTAACCAATTTAGTAACTATGCTATCCAACTAGATGAAAAAGTTCTTAACATAACTTATGGAGGTTATTAAAAAAAATATATTTTCTTAATCCTAAAATTTTCGTTTTTACTGAAGCATTTTCGGTAGCTTATCTATCACTTTTATTAAAATCCAAAATCATTTTAGAAAAGTTGAGTTCTGTATAAAATTCAACAAGAATTTTACGTCCTTAAAAGAATATACCATGCTACCCGCCCTCAAAAACTAATAAAATATATGGAATAAGTTAAAAATATATTAATGGTTAAAAAAATGTAGTTTGATTTAGCCCAGTGCGTGTACTATCTTTCTCCTTGCGCTCTAACACGAATATAAATAATTGTAAATGTAATTCGGAAGCTGTTTAGGTTAATTTAAATTTGTTTAGAAATACAACCTATACAAAATTATATCGTTTTTAAGTATCAGGAAAGATTTATTCCTAATTTACCTATTTTTGCAGGATAAAATTCGTCTCCTTCAGGATGATCTCGAAATCGAAAGAGAACTCAGAGCCAGAGTGAGTATTATTTTTGCTTTAAGCTTTGAGGCTGTTTTAAAGTAATTATTTTTCAAAAATAAACTAATCTTAAAAAAGTTTTTATATTTAAGGAATATATTTGCTATTTTATTTTCTTCATTTTTGCAATTCGTGTTTAAAGTCCTTTATTTATATTAGTAGTTTAAAATATTTTTACATTTTTAGGAATTGTGATTAATAAAGTATTTTTTTATCAGTTTATTTAAGTGATTTAGATTCAAAAATTTAGAGCAAACTATTATATATTTTTATAAACGTATACATAATTAATGCTTAAAAACAGCCTCTGAAAAGTTGCTTCAGTTTTCTCTCGCTTTGCTTACTCTCTTTTTGAAAATAAAGAATATTTGCTTGCCATCATTTCATTTCACATCATTAAATAAATAAAGATATGTTCACCATCAGACTTAACTTTTTTTTAAATAATGAAGGAAATTCGGGACTTTACTCCTGAATTTCCTTCAATATCTTTTAAATGTTTCGGCAATTATAATTCTTCAACATCATTTTATTATTTAATTTGTTTTAAACGTTACTGCCTAATTAATTTTCTTATCTTTCGTATGTCCCACATCACTTAAGCCTCACAAGGCTCATTGTGCATACTCATGGGACATTTCCTCTCAGCTTGACAAAAATCCTGCTGGTTGATAACTTCGCTGTAAGGTGCTTCTAGATCTTTTAGTTGCCTCTTACGACAAGCAGATGCACGATGCCATTTTACAGAAAGTGGTCATTTAATGGTAAATTTTTGGGTGAACCTTTCCTGTTCACCCGATCTACAGGACACCTTATCTTAGTAATCTTATTAAGAGTGATCCACAAAAAATGTTGTTAAAGTGGGCCCTAAACGACAAAAGTATGAGTCACTTTCATGGTAACTACGCACGGCCAGAGTACTCATAAGTACTTCACATTGAGTAGTTTCACAATGTGCTCCTAAGTATCTAAGTGTGAGTATAAGTACTGTAACAGCCCACCCCCCTGGTCGCTTCTTGAATTATCAGAAGCATGTATTCCTCCCCTTTGTGAAATTCAAAGTAATTCTATACTGTATTTTGCCTTTTTCATCTAGTAGTAGTGATCGCCTAGTTAATTTATTGATAATTTATATATCCACGTTGTGATAATGTTTCAGCCTCACCTAGGGGGGTTTATGTAGTATAGTCCTACTAAAATAGAGCCAGATCAGTACCAACGAACTACCTCTTATGTTCAGATCTACCTACAATGCGAAGATTAAGAGATAATTATTATCTAAGATGGTCCAACCCTGCAATAACATCAAGCATATTGGTGTAAGATGTGAGTGTAGCCGCCCAAAGTTTCATTTATCCCAGTCAGCTGAGCTGTTAATTTATTAGCTATTAGCGAGGGAGTATTGGCATTTCGGTAGACCAGTTTCTTAAATAATTTTAGGCTGATATAATAAAACGGTAAATGCATACTAAGACGTTAATGAACAATACATTTTAATAATAATGAATAAACCTCTTTTAAGTTATTGACTCACCATCTATTTCTGGCGTTTTTATATTGTTATTGATACGTGGAAGTGTTGCTGATTTTCAAATATTAAACAGGGGCATCGGGATGTGGAAACATCGGAACGTAGAGCGTCGAAATGTAGAGCGGCAGTATGTAAAAGCGTTCTGGAGATAGATCGTCGGGACGTAGAAAGGTAGAGAAGTAAGGTGGTGGGACGTTAAGCGTCGGGACGTGAAAGCATTCAGGAGGTGGTTCGTCGGGAGGTGGTTCGTCGGGACGTAGAACGTCGCGATAAAGAAGTGTCGATAAGATGTAGGGTAGGAATGGCGTCGGTTTAGGAAAGGTACTAAATACTGAAATTGAGATAAGTATAACTAATTTAGAAAAACAACTGAAATATACTAGATTTAAAATAATAATGAATAAAATTGAAAAGAGATAGATTTTAGGTAATACTGGATAGACTTAAGTTTGATATCAATGATGATCAGTTGAGCCTGTTAAGCACATTCTAAGTACTAGGAATAGTCCGTCCTTGCATTTCAGGTATAGTTAGAATAAAATTAGTAGGTTTGCTTTAAAAATATTAGTCTAATTTGTAGTTCACAAAAAATTCCTTTAAGTATATGAAAAAATTTGTTATTATTAAAACAAATTATTTTTACTTCTAGTGTGATTTCAACCCACATTAATTTTTTCTAAATGTTTGCCCTTTATTTATGGAGTATCCTTTATAGTTTTTCCAGTTAAAATTTCTTAATATTTTAAACCGGACATAGTACATATTTCTGTTAGGGGGGATGTTTTAATCTGATTTCAAGTGGAATCTACACACCAAACGTTAATTTGAATTGATTGATAAAATAGTTAAATAAAAATATGTTTAAATTTTCTTCAAAAAAATTAAATTATATCATAAACGGTTAACTAATAATGTAAAAACTGGGACATCCTTTTGGCAATTATTCCTTCTGGCTCTAATTAAAATAATTAATAAACAGGCTTAATTGGACAAAAATAAATCATATTAACGTCAAAGACTGACCTCATAGATGTCCTGCATCTATATTTTCGTATCCTAGAATAAATATACGCATGTGATTCACAATTTGGATGATATGTTGTTTATTCGAGTCAGGGCTATTTTTGACTTCCCGTTTTTAAGTTTTGAAGTTCCAAATATCGTTCTCAGTTAATTTTAACTTCAAATAAAGTTTACTGAGCATTACTTTTAAGTAGTCGATCTTACGATTATGCACTAGTCGAATATTGAGTGAAGCACTTAAAATTTGATTGTTTTTGTTAACGATTTTATGCGTACAGAAGTAGCTAAATAGATTTAATTATAGATATATAGGGTGTTTCAAAAAAAAAGTTCGGTTGCTTAGTAAAAAATTTTTGTAACTGGATCAGTTTTCAAAATAGAGGGTATTAAAAAAAAAGTATACACATTTTTTACGATTATGTAGAAGCTACTTGCAACATTGTAATGCAATTTTTTGGAAGATGGCACATCGCATAAGTTTGTTTTTATAGCTGCTTCTCATAGAGGGCGCTAGTTACGCGGTTCGCACCGATTAGTTTTAAACATATCTTCTTGAGGTTAAATTTTCTAGTCAAAATTTTATGTGAACTCAAACATCATTTAATTTTGTACCAAAAAGGTACTCTTGGTAAAACTTGATACTGTGTACCGTTTTCGAAATATTTTGATTTGAAAATGATAAAGTAATAACTGATGCTGGTATAAAGTATTTTTTAAAAAAACAATTACCTGTTTATTAAAAACCAAAAACAATAACATTATTCTAATTCTAATGTTATTAATTAAACAAAGAATCACAAGAAGAAAATTAAAATAAATTTGACTAAAAACATGAAATATTTAATCTGTTAGAGCAGGAGTGCTCAAACGGTCGATCACAATCGACCTGTCGATTGCTAGTGCTTATTAAGTGGATCTATAAAAAAAAATAGTTATGCTACTTAAATGTCTTAAACACACCTTATTTAAAAAACAACACTTTAAATTTCTAAATAAAAGGGAAATTACCATATACTTTGATTACTATACGGTGCAAGAGAGAGGTCCGACACGCCCAACATAAGGCACGGCCATTTTGATGCCTTTACCACAGTTTATAGCTAAAGAATCAGTTCGCTCACTCTGCGTCGGAACTTTTGATCTTTATGTTCCAGTTTATACACTGCACAACTCGGATAATACAATATATGACAACCGCCTATAATAAAACAGCAGTCTTCTGCGCATTCTGAATTTGTATCCCTGGAGTGGATGTTATTTTGGAACTTTCAACTAGTCCGAGTGAGCTAACTGATTCTTTAGCAATAAACTGTGACTCCAAAAATAATATTTACTGACACTGACAGCAGCAAGGAAAATATTAAAAATATTGCGCCAAGATGTAGGCAACACATAATAAGGCATCAAAATGGCGGAGTTTTCTATCTACTTTTAAAAGGCGCTCAGAAAGCTGCGCAGTGCGACAATTCTCCGTATAGTAAGAGAAAATCAAAGTATGTGGAAATTACTCATAAAATAAGCATAAAACATATTGAAATATCGAGAAATCGCAAAGTCGAAATCCGAAAGGTCTATACACTTTAATTAATATTTTGTTCTATATTGAAATTTCATTATTAAATCATTTTAATTTTTCCTGTATAACACCTATATTATTGCCCGAAATAATAGCTTTTCTGGACTCAGATGCTAAAAAATGGAAAATGGTTGACTGATTTAGTATTTTTGACAGACATCACAATGCATTTAAACCACATATTTTGATTTTCTTTTACTATACGGAAAATGGCCGCACTGCGCAGCTTTCTGAGTGCCTTTTAAAAGGAGATAGAAAACTCCGCCATTTTGATCTCTTATTACGTGTTGCCTACATCTTGGCGCAATATTTTTAATAGGTGCGTTTTAATCATCCGCTTCTGCTTCGGAATTGTCGGTTTTCTTGTTTTAATCTGACAGGTTAAAACGACTAAACTGACAATTCCGGAAGCAGAAGCGGATAATTAAAACGCACCTGATATTTTGCAGTTGCAGTCACAGTTTATTGCTAAAGAATCTGTTAGCTCATTCCACACTTATTTACGTGTGGATTCTCATCATACCAGTAGTGTTTATTATGAGAGTATAACATTCCTTGTCGCGTAGAGGTAACCTCGTCGGTGTAAAGGATTCTTTTAAAAAAATTGGGATTGAGGACTGTCCTTTCTTATAACGTTTCACAAAAATCTACTCTATCCGGTAGTTTCGACGTAATTGTAAAAAATGTGTATAAATTTTTTTTTTTTCAATTCCACGTTACTAAAATTTTTGCAGTGTTCTACTTATTCTAGTAACAGGGCTACCTTTTTTTGAAACCCCCTGTAGATATAAATATAGTAACTAATAATCTTCTTGTTCACTTACCCGTTTTCTCGTTTCCATAATTCATGTGTGTGAGTAAGTGGGTGAA